AATGAAATTAGAACATTCTCTAACAACATATACAAAAGTAAACTCAAATGGATTAAGGACCTAAACGTAAGATCAGACACCATAAAAGTCCTCGAGGAAAACATAAGCAGAACACTCTAACATAAATTGTAGCAATATTGCTTTCAGTTTCCTAAGGCAAAGGAAACAAAAGCAAAAATAAATTTAAAAGCTTTTGCACAGCAAAGGAAACTACTGACAAAAGACAATCTACTGAAAGAAAGAAGATATTTGCAAGTGTTATGACCAATAAGGGGTTACCATCCAAAATACATAAACAGCTCATACAACACAATATCAAAAAACAAACAAAAAAACAATTAAAAAATGGGCAGAAGACTTGAATAGACATTTTTCCAAAGAAGATATACAGATGACCAACAGGCACATGAAAAGATGCTCAACAATGCTAATCAGAGAAATGCAAATCAGAACCACAATGAGATATCACCTCATACCTGTCAGAATGGCTATCATCAAAAAGAACACAAGTAACAAATGCTGGCAAGGGTGTGGAGAAAAGGAAACCTTTGTGCACTGTTGGTGGGAATGTAAATTGGTGCAGCCACTATGGAGAACAGTGTGAGGATTCCTCAAAAAAAAAAAAAAAAAAAATAGAACTACCATATGATCCATACCATACCATATGAGCAATTCTACTCCTGGGTATATATCCAAAAAAATGAAAACACTAATTCAAAAAAATACATGCACCCCAGTGTTCACTGCAGCATTTTTTACACTAGCCAAGATATGGAAGCAGTCTAAGTGTCCATCAACAGACAAATGGATAAAGAAGATGTATATCCTAGCCATAGAATATTAGCCATAGAAAAAGAATTAAATTTTGCCACCTGCAGCATTGTGGATGGACCTGGAGGATATTATGCTTAGTGAAATAATTCAGACAGAGAGAGACAAATACCATGTTGTCATCTGTATGTGGAATCTGAAAAAAAGAAAAGACTATAACAAAACAGAAACAGACTGACACAGAGAATAATCTAGTGGTTGGTTACCAATGGGGAGAGGGAAGGGGGAGGGGCAAAATAGGGATTTGAAATTGTCTTAGTTAATACCTAACTGTCCTGCATAAAAGCTGTGCCAGTCACATCCCCAGTATAGGGAGAGCCTTCCCCTCACACTGTGCCAGCTCGGCAGGACGGGTGCCCCCACCAAAACAGCTCTCTCAGTACAGTGATTTTCTTAATAAGAGTTGGCTTTTTTTTTCTTTTTCTTTTTGGCTGTGTTGGGTCTTTGTTGCTGCGCAGGCTTTCTCTAGTTGCGGCGAGCGGGGGCTACTCTTCATTGCGGTGCGCAGGCCTCTCATTGCGGTGGCTTCTCCTGTTGCGGAGCACAGGCTCTAGGTGCATGGGCTTTAGTAATTGTGACACACGGGCTTAGTTGCTCCGCGGCATGTGGGATCTTCCCAGACCAGGGCTCAAACTCCCGTGCCCTGCATTGGCAGGCAGATTCTTAACCATTGCACCACCAGGGAAGCCCCTTTAATATTTATTTAGTTGGCTGCACGGGGTCTTAGTTCCAGCACTCAGATCTTCGTTGCGGCATGCAGGATCTAGTTCCCCAACCAGGGACCGAAGCCAGGCCTCCTGCATTAAGAGCGTGGAGTCTTAACCACTGGACCACCAGGGAAGTCCCAGTACAGTTTTGTTTTTTGGTTTTTGTTTTCGGTACGCGGGCCTCTCACTGTTGTGGCCTCTCCCATTGCGGAGCACAGGTTCCGGACGCGCAGGCTCAGCGGCCATGGCTCACGGGCCCAGCTGCTCCGCGGCATGTGGGATCTTCCCGGGCCGGGGCACGAACCCGCGTCCCCTGCATCAGCAGGTGGACTCTCAACCACTGCGCCACCAGGGAAGCCCCCCAGTACAGTTTTAATACGCCTGAGGGCGAGGTCTGTCCACCTTTCAGAGTTGGGGTCATGTGACTTCCCTCCATGGGGACTGACCACGGCCTCTGTCTTCCTTTCATCGGGTCTTTTTTTTTAACTTTTATTACAGTACAGTTGCTTTACAATGTTGCTAGTTTCCACTGTACAGCAACGTGAATCAGCTATACGTATACATGTATCCCTTTTGGATTTCCTTCCCATTTAGGTCACCACGGAGCACCGAGTTCCCTGCACTATACAGTAGGTTCTCATTACTTATCTATTTTATACATAGTATCAATAGTGTGTATATGTCAATCCCAATCTCCCAATTCATCCCACCCCCTCTTCCCCCCTTGGTATCCATACCTTTGCTCTCTACATCTGTGTCTCTATTTCTGCTTTGTATATAAGGTCATCTATACCAATTCATTGGGTCTTTTTCTTGGTTTGTAGGAGCTCTTCATGAAACAAGCCCTTTGTCACATGGGTTGCAAGTATTTTCTCCCAGTTTACCCTTGTATTTTTTTCCCCAATTTTGCCAAGAAGAAATGGCAGATAATTATGTAATTAAATTTATCAACCTCCTCTTTAATGACTCCGGGGGCCTGTGAGCTACAGAATAGGCCTTCTCCACCCAAGAGTATAAACATAACTGACTGCGTTTTTATGTGTGTTTGCGGTTTTACTTTTCACGTTTAAGTCTGAGTCATCTGGAACTTACTTCCATACAAGAGTGAGATCCAATTGTATCTTTTCAGCTGGTTACCCAGTCCCAACGCTATTTATCGAATGATCCATCTCTCCCCTAAAGATACGGAAAGCCACCTTATACTCCAAATTTCTATTTTAAAGCCTAGCTTACCCAGCTGAAGTGATCCTTTCTGTGCCTTTCAGGTTTGACGTGCAGTCCATTTCCCTATCCATCTTTAAGAGTTCTCTGTAGCCTTAAATAGCACTTCTGAGTCGGAGCTGACACAGCACAGGTGAGGCCACTCTTCCGCCTGCGATCCCGCCCGGCAGTTAACATCTAAGCACACCGCTTAGAAGAGGCTCTGGGGTGCCACGTGTATTGCTTTTCCTAATCTTCCCAGAAACTCGGGAGGTGGGGAGGTGATCCGAGGTCAGGGCGCAGGGCGAGGTCTGCCGGCAGCACCAGGCAGGGCCGGCTTCAGCGGCCAGCCACCTGCAGTCCCGGCCCGTGCCCATCCTGGAAACCATCCTTCCCGCAGAGCGTGGAGCCCTTAGGCCTCCCCGTGCTCACTGAGGGGCAACCTCACGAGGCTCGAAATGTCTGAAAAACGACACGGGCGTAGCTCCTGGCCCAGGCCCGCGAGGGGCAAAGGCTCCCCAGGCAGAACCACGCGATGCTGGGGTCCTGACAGCTACCTGCCCCGGCCGCGCCCTCCTCCCTCCACTCTGGGGTCTTTCCTGGGGAGACACAGGCGTCAGTGCCAGCAACATGCAAGGGCAGCTCAACTCCACCACGGGGAGCTCTCGGGCTGACAACTCCTGGTCTGCGCTCCAGCCCCGACCTCTCGCGAGACCACACCTCCGCCCGCGTGCTCTCAGGGACGGAACTCAGCAGCCCCGCACTAAACTCGTTTCCTCCAGGGAGCCTGCTTCCTCGTCCTGTTGCTAAAATGCGTCCACAACCCAAGCCAGACGCGTGGCAGACGCGCCCAACAGGAGGTCCTGAGTAACAGTTACCCTGCTGCCTCGTGGTCCTCGTGGTCCACGGGCCAAGGCCTGGCCTGGCAGGAGAATGTAGTCCGTTTTTCTGCGATGCCACCTCGCACGTCAAGGGTGTGACCTGAGACTAGAAAGAGAGGGGCGGGACAATAACCCACCCTTTGGGGCCCTGGGATTGGTGGGGAGAAAGAGGAAAGGCGGAGACGAAGCACCAGCGTGAATGGCTGGCAGGTGTGTCCCGAGGGCACCAGCCGCTGGTGGGAAGAGCCAGCTCGCGGGGCAGAGGGGGCTGGCAGGCGGGGGAGGTCTTTGCACGTCCCCGCACAGCCCTCCGTGGGGACTGGGACGCTGTGGGCCCCTCCGTCCCACACGGAACCATCCTCCTCTAAATCCTGTCCCTTTTCCTTTAAGCAGTGCCATTCAAATTGGTCCTGGTCTCACCTCCTCCACCATCCTAGCTGCGTATGTCCAGTATTCCCCCCTCAGGGACCGCTTCTCGAAACTCGAGTGGCTGTATGGCTTCCTCGAACGAAAAAACACCCTCAAGGATAAATGTCAACCTTGCAACACTGCTAAGGGCAAACCCAGGCCTGCGCTCCCCGTCCCCCGCCCCGCGCCCCCC